CGGCTCGGGGTCTTTCCGCCATCTTGAAGAATGCAGAAGAACCTCCAATAAAGCGTGCTTCAGAAGAATCCTGAGTGTTGCGTGCTCCTTGCTGGCGAGGTGCGCGCGACACAAAGAGATATTTATAAACCCATATTCACAGAAGTATTACTCACAATAACTAAAACATGGAAGTGACCCAACTATCTATCAATAAATGGTGTAAATACCGAATAGTCTCTCTGGTGTGAAAAACTATAATAGTACATAAGATCCTAATGAGATAATTGACAATGTGAAATAGGAAGAAAAGGGCTAAAGGTGTAGGGAAAGCGGGAAGGGTAGGGGAAAGGTAATAAGAGAAAAGAAAAAAATATGAGAAAATGAAAAAAATGGAAATGAAGTGTTTGTAAAGGGGGAGAGGAGGATGGGGTGAAGGGAGGGCAGGGACAAGGGGACAAAATGAGAACCAAGACCTGTCATGTAAAGGTACAAGATCCCAGTAATGAATGTAACTGTGCTGTATACCTAAAATCTACCAATAAACTCAATTAAAAAATGAATACACAAAACATAGTATATACATACAATAGAATATTATTTGGCCTTAAAATTAAAAGAAACTCTGGGCCAGGGATTTAACTCAGTGGTGCCGCTGCCTGCCTCTCAAGTGCAAGATCCCGAGTTCGATCCATGGTACCCTAAATAAATAAATAAATAAATGTAAAAGAAATCCTGACACATGCTGCAGCATAGATAAACCTAGGGCCGTTGTGCTAAATGAAATAAGACAGCCACAAAAAGACAAATTCTGTATGATTTCACTTATATGATGTGCTTAGAGTAGTCAAAAATCACAGAATCAGAGTAGAATGGTGGCTTCTGGAGATTGGGGGAGAGAAAATAAGGAGTTATTCTTTAATAGGTGTAGAGTTCCTGTCTTGTAAGATAAAATGGATGGTGGTGACAGGTGCAAAATATGAATGTACATACTATCACTGAATTGTACACTTGAAAATAGCTGATGATAAAATTTCTTCCCAGTACCAGGGACCTTACATTTTTGAGGCAGCATGGCACCACTGAGCTAAATTCCCAGCCGTAAGATAATTTTATGTGTATTTTACCACAATAAAATTTTTGAAATCATGAAATACACATGAATATTAAACAAATCACTACAAGATTCCATACATTTCTTTCCAAAACATAAATGCCAAAATAAAAGCTTACAAAATTCTTGTGAAAGCTTTCTACTTGTTTGCTTGCTATGTTTTCTATTAGCAAGTACGAAGGGACTTGACCAGCGAACTTGATTCAAATATGACGACTGCTACAAAGATCAGAAATGTTCTGATACCCTCACTGATGGAAGGAAGATAAGTTTTATCTCTTGATATCCTGAAACTTCCTCCTAAGGTTACTTATTAAATAATTTTAAAATATTCAAGTTAAGATCAGCAAAACGAAGAAAGACATCTCCTAATTTAGGCGACATACTAAAACAACTGGCTGAAGTGTAACCAAATTGATCAGCCTGAGTCCCTTTGCTGTGGATGTCAGAAAGAGAGCAGCTCTAAGGGCACCCATCTGGGCCTGCCATTTGAAAAAAAAAAAAAAAACTCAAATACCTTCCCCTCCGCCAGTGATCGTGAACCTTTAAGCGACTAAGTGCCAAAATGCAACCGAAAAACCACTTATTTATCACAAAGTGCCAACACTGTAACTAAACCTGAGTACTGAGGTTTTAGTTTAGAAAAAGAAAAAACAAAACTCTACATCAACATTTTTTTGTCTTAAAAGAAAAACACAATAACACGCGTGCCATGGGTTCACCACCACTGCCTAGGCTGTGACAGTCGTGAGAAAGAGATGCCTTTACTTCTGCCTTCTCAACCGCCAGCATAGCTCCTGACAGTCTACGCTGGTTAGGTAAATGTGGAAGGAGTTACCACAAACCCATTCAACATCTCCCCAGAACCCAGAAGGCCCTTGCCAGCGTGCACATTTTTCCGAGAAGGTGGCTGGGAAGTCGTTTCCCGGGCTTCGTCGTCCCCGCTGCCACAGGCCTCTGAGAGCAAGGCGGGCTTCGCTCGGTCCAGCGTCTCTCCGGACTCCCAGGGCCCCCACCTTTGCTTAGCCGCTCACCTTCTCCGAGTTAGAATCAAACGAGGAATTCCAGTTTTTCAGCCCCTCCTTGAGCTCCAGGATGTCCACCACGCTGTCTCTATTGTGGTCCAGGTCCTCAAAGAGGATCCGGAAGCGGAGGTGGTCGTCATCGCTCTGGCAGGCCGCCACCGGCAGCACGAAGCCCCGCAGCCAG